TTTTGGAGACGTTTTTGCTATAGGCTGTGTGCGCTCTCCGGAAAGACAGAGAGAGACAGAGAGACAGAAAGCGAGAAATCACCCCCCAGGGGGAATGGCCACGCCACAATCCCTTCTCCTCCATTCTCCTCTCGGGATCTTGGGCACGCACGCACACGCGCCCGGCATGAGTTTTAAGCCACCAGGCCCGGGACACGACCCGCGGTCGACTCCGTGGGAGTCCAGCGACATAGCCATTAAACTAACTGCTGATCCCAAATGTTAAATGTTCTTATCACAAAAAAAAAAAAAAGAAAGAAAGGAAGAAAAATAAAGAAGCAACTTTTGATGGTGAGAGAGAGGTTTATAGTTTAGACTGTCATGTGTAATTATCTCCAAACTCCCCGAGTACTATATATGAAAAATATACATCTTGGGAACCAGCAGTTAGCGTAATGGCTATGTCGCTGGACTCCCACGTAGTCGACCGCAGTTCGTGTCCCGGGCCTGGTGGCTTAAAACTCATGCCGGGCGCGTGTGCGTGCGTGCCCAAGATCCCGAGAGGAGAATGGAGGAGAAGGGATTGCTGCGTGACCATCCCCCCTGGGGGGTGATTTCTCGCTTTCTGTCTCTATGTCTCTGTCTGTTTGGCTGGCGAGCGCATGTGCCCTACAGTGAAAATCTCTCCCCCCCAAAAAAATATATATATATACATCTTTATGTATGTCAGGTCCTATGTTAATAATGTGCTTTTGAAAAATGAAGCTGTATATATCTCATAAAAGAAAAAAGTCACCATTCTTCAAGCATGTTGTAAAATCACAAGTAAAATAAAATAAATACAAGTTTAGATTACACCAGAAGCTCTGCGTGGCAAACATCGCTTTCTTTTTCAGAAGGGAAGTCTGAGTTTATTCCTGCTCTGCAGACAGGAGTGAAAGTAGAAAGTAGGATGTGGTGCTATTTCCTCTCTTGTTAAAGTTCTTCCTGAGTTTTTATCTGGTTAGTTTGGTTTAAAATAGGCTAAAGTCGATGAGCAGAGATGGAAGTGACACTGGGAAGAGGAACTGTGTCTTGACTGGAGAGAAAGGGTTCCAGAAGAGAGTAGTTGCCTTCTAGAATGTTCCAGGATACGGATCCGTCCATGTTCTTCTTGAGAGGTGTCTGGGCAGAGACAGTGTGCACCGTTCATGGCTGTCTGCTGCTCCAACCACTGGTCCATGGAGCCTAACCCTATTTCACAAAGTCTGGCCAAAGTGCAATTATTATAGTGTTCAATGTTAATCTGCCTTTTCACATAAATGATTTGAGAGGCAAGTCTACCATTTGCCTCACAATCTCAGCCCACAATGATGCAATCTTCATGTCTAAATTAATCTGTGTGGGAGATAGAAAAGCCTGTTCCATAAGACTGCAGTAATCTAGTATTACAGATGCTGAAAATGATAAGCCTCTCTAAAAGTCTTACAGTGAAGTAAGCAGACCTCCAACCCTATCCTTAATCATCAAAAAATTCGTTGCTTGTAATAAAAATAGTTGTCATTGCCCTAAAAATAATGACTATGGGCTAGACGGAGGTGCAGCAGTACCTTGCTCTGCAAGGCTGAGCCACGTGGGAAGGTTCCAGGTTTGCATCCCGAGTCCGCTCTGGGTGTGCCAGGTAGACATGTGCCCATCACCCATGGCGGTGTGGAGGCCCTGTTGGGGGTGCTTATCTTGCTGTCACTCAGAAAGGAAGAAAGAAAACAAGAAAGAAAGAAACCGAGAAAGAAAGGAAAAGAAGGAAGTAAAGAAAGAAAAAAACCTTAAGAATGATTACATTGGGGCCAGCAGGTGGCATGATGGTTAAGGCACTGGATTCCCACATGGTTGACTGTGGTTTGAGTCCCAGACCTGGTAGCTTGAAAGTCATGCTGGCATGTGTGCATGCATACCCAAAAATCCCAGGAGCAGAATGGAGACGGGCTTACCGCATGGCCATCGTCCCTCAGGGGGTGATTTCACACATTCCCTCTCTCTGTCCCTTTCTGACAAGTGCACACACCCTAGGACAAAAAAGTAAAAATAAACAAAACGAAACAAAAAACAAAACCCAAGTCGAATCTAAGAGATTACTATTAGGATGAGGGAAGGAAGAACAATGAGTGTGTAGTTTAATAAATATGTAAATAGTAAATTGTTCATTATTATCTGCTTATCACTTCTAGTCCCTATATTTTGCAGTCTTTTCTCAAGTCATTTCTCCAGACTATTCATATATGTTGTGTTCTTACAGTCTCAGGTTGAAGGAAGAAACTTAGAGCTTTTATAAATTTAGTAAGTTTAAGGGACCTTGGCTTCTAGAATTCTATACCTCTCAGCCCTGCTGGGGATAGTACAGCCTTACCTTGGAGCCTGGTTGATCCACGATGCTAGGAAATGTCAATGAACATTGGATTCGTTATTTTACACTTATGGGCTTATACCGTGGTTATAATTCTCTTTACAAAGGGACAAATGAGCTTTCTCACTATGGTACCTATCACCATGCCTGCTAAATTAGTTAATACGTGACCAAGAAATAAACAATGGAGAGAAAACAATCTGTTGTGGGGCCGGCAGGTGGCATGCTTGGTGGTTAAGGCACTTTACTCCATATGGTCATCTGTGGTTTGAGTCCCAGACCTGACTGCTTGCGTTCTCACTTTCTCTCTCTTGCTCTCTCTGGTCAAATTAAAAAGAAATAATGATGGCGAATAAAATTAAAAAAAAAAAATCTGTTGTATCTAGAAACTACCAAGTATTGGGATCTGAGGATATTTGGATGTAAACTGGTTGTAAGTCTAAACAGATTACTACATCATGAGACAGTCAAAAATTATTTATTGAAATTTCAATAAATTATCTAATGTGTAGAAACCTATTATGTGTGTAGAATCATAAGGCATAAAATATAGGTACAAAAGATTATGGAGAAAAAGTGCTTTTTATCTAATGATTTATCACTTCAAAGTTTTTAATTTTGGGAACCAGCAGTTAGCGTAATGGCTATGTCGCTGGATTCCCACGTAGTTGACCGCGGTTCGTGTCCCGGACCCAGTGGCTTAAAAAACTCATGCCGGGCGCGTGTGCGTGCGTGCCCAAGATCCCGAGAGGAGAATGGAGGAGAAGGGATTGCGGCGTGACCATCCCCCCTGGGGGTGATTTCTCGCTTTCTGTCTCTATGTCTCTCTCTGTTTGTCTGGCGAGCGCATGCGCCCTACAGTGAAAATCTCTCAAAAAAAAAAAAAGTTTTTAATTTTTTAATCCAAAACAAAAAATGTATTTATGTACTTACTCTTCTGGAATTTTAGCAGGGTTTGTTGAAGGCAGCTTACCTCAGCTCCATGTGACATCAGCTGGGGTAAACCAATGGGAGATTAGAAGATTGATCCCCTCCTGATAAGGCTTACTCATATCTCAGCAGATCAATGCCAGGTGTCCTCGGGTGCTCAGGTGAGCTGTCAGCCAGAGTCTATCTGTGTGACCTTTGTACGGGCTAGGTTGGCTTCCCCTCATAGGTCAACTGAGTTCCAAAAGAACATGTCCCAGGTACTGGTTTCCCAAGAAGATGAGTCCCAACATGCAAGTGCTTATCCAATCTTGGTGATCATGCTTGGTCATCAAGCCTTGTTGTATGCTCATCAATATCCCATTGACTGGAGCTGGTCAAAGGGCCAAGCCTGGAGTCAATAAGAGAGAAGGCCATGCAAGGGTCTGAATACTACAAATGCCTGTCTTATCGAAGGCCAAAGTAGCAGTCGACTGCAATCAATTCAAATTCATGACATGTTTCAGCAGTCCCAGGTGGCTGTTACTGTTTATATGAGGAACATTACGGTAATCCACGGCATGTCCTTGCACAAATGGCTCACCTCCACAGGTTTTGTTGATCCTTTCTCAAAAAAGGAAGTTGAATTAGGAGCTCTGCATGGTTCCCTCCAATGAACGGTTCACTATATAACAACAAACACATTTATAATAGTATTCTTTTATTTTAATTGCAGAGGGCACATGTGCTCACCAGGGAGATGAGAAAGGGAGTGGGAGAAAGCATTCTCCAAATGAGGCATGATTGTGCTTCAATTCCTTCTTTTCCATTTCTCCATCTTGCTGGGAGCTGGGGTACCCACATGTGCCCAGCATATTTTTCAAGTCACCAAGCAGGGATTTGACCCATGGTGGGCCACATGGGATCTGGGTCACTTAATGACTAGGTACAGGGTCGGCCCAGTTATAATATTATATTCAGGGTACATCAGTAATGAAAAAAATATGAGCTTATTTCCTGACAAACACATCCCTTCAACCAGTAGTAGTCATTAAGGCTAATTGAGAACTAAATCTATCATGTGAACCTGCTCTGGGCTGCCAGCCTGTTCCTTCGGATATCCTGACCATGGAAAGTGGAGCGGCATCAGTTAGGCTTTGCCCTGCCAGCAATTTCTCTGCTGTGAAACGTGATTTCTCCTTTGATTAAGATGTTAATTTCTGGGACCAGCAGATAGCATAATAGCAATGTTGCTGGACTCCCATGTAGTGGACCATGCTTCAAGTCCCAGACCTGCAACTTAAAACTTATGCTGGCCACATGTGCATGCGTGCCCAAGATCCCAAGAAGATAATGGAGGAGAAGGGATTGCGGTGTGGCCATCCCCTCTGGGGAGTGATATCTTGCTTTCTGTCTCTCTAGCAATTGCATGCACCCTATAGCAAAAATCTCTCTTCAAAAAAAAAGAAAAGGTTTAAATAAAAGAGAGAGATGCATGCACTTTTGTCTTGCTCATTTTTACGGGACTGTAAAGAAGATAAAGTTAGATTAGCCATGCGAAAGTGATTTTGCTTTGAGTAGGGATTAGGGTTTTTCCTGTTCTTCTAATCACATACTACTCAGTTCTGATAGCATGGCATCAGCCTGGCAAAAAATAGTTAAGACTTCATTAGCTGCTATAGTTTCGCCCCGCCCACACCAAGTGTGGAGACCCCACCCTTTTAACTCTCTCTGTGGCTAAATCTGTGACCCTTTCTATGACACTCAGGAGACTGTACCCTAAAAAGAAAAAAAAAATACATGTTTTAAAAAGTAATTTAGGCCACCTCATTTGCCTTCCCTCCCTTTTGCATTCCTTACAATGCCTCAAACATAAGATTTTTTTTTTTTTTTGAACTTCAGTTTCACTTTTGAGACTGCAGTAAAGTTGCACTTGCCTGATTGCTACCTTTGGATTTAGACTAAGAGGCGTATGAACGGCCAGAGTACGGAATACGTGAAGGTATGTATTTAAAATATTTTTGAGACAGGACCTCTTTGGCTGAGTAAGATTAGAGTGCAGTTTCGTTTTAGCGTTCTTTGATCTGGTGCTTGAAATCTAGTCGAATCATTCAATCAAGAAAATGGAGAAAAAGGAATATGAGAGAGATATAAAGAGCAATGTAGTACAACTCAGAATACAGTAATAGCAATAATATCTACTTCTTACAATAAAGCATTGTATGTGGTCATTCATTTGTTTTCCCCATAGAGTTCTGCACCAGGAAACATGCATTAGGGAAGTTACGGAAATAATTTTGCAACAGCCTTTTAAAAAAATTACCTCTTTGCCTTAAAGAAACAAAATCCCGTGAGTTTAAAAAGAAGTGACTTCCTTTTCCCCGTTTGTGGGCTGGGGAGGAGATGAGAGCTGGAATTTTATGATAATATGTTTGAAGAGAAAAGAGCATTTCCGGTGTTCCTAGGGTTAAGTAAATGGCTTTCTTTCATCTAATAAAGGAAAATGAAGGAAGGTGAGAGGTGGAATGACCAGAAATAGGAAGCTCAAAACTCGCATTAGCAATGAGGGGGTGTTCAGGGGAAGCATATGAAGACCCTTTGTAGTTTTTCAGGGAAAATTCAGGTTGCCATTCAGCTCGTGAAGGCAGCCGCGGAGTTGTGCCCAGCTCTGCCCTAATTCAAGGCTGAGTTGATAAGGAGCTTCTGGAGTCTTTCCAACCATTCATGAATGTTCTTGAATTACAGTCATTTTACCTGTTCGGCTCTCTCTACTGTTGCCTTCTTGTTTAGTGGTGAGCCGTGAATGTCTTGTGATATTTGTCTTTATTTTTCTTCATAAACATTTATAAAACAGAACATAGTTACAATGATTCACTTATTAACCATGGGATCTTTGTGCTGATTGATAGTAGAAATACCATTTAATATTGTATTATCAAATGTTAATTGTCGAATATTTTACGGTAGGTACTTAAAGCGATACGTCTACCTCCTTTAATACTCACAACGACCTATAGAAGAGCTCAAGTATTTTATTAATTAACTTATTTGTTTTCATGTTTGCTGTAGGGCATGTGTTCTTGTCAGAGACAGAGAGAGGGAGAGTGAAAAATCACCTCCCAGCAAGAGCGGCCACCCCACAATCCCCTCTCCATTCTCCTCTTAGGATTTTGGGCATGCTCACACATGCACCCAGTGTGGTTTTCAAGTTGCCAGGTCTGGATTCAAACCGTGGAGTCAACCATGTGGGATCCAGAGCCTTAACCTCAATGCTACCTGCAGTCTCCGAGGCCTGCTGTTTTAAAGATGAGGAAAGTAAGGCCTGAGAAGTGAATTAAAATTTGCCAAAAGTTACAAGACAAACTCAGAGTGAAGAGTCATTCCAATTCTGTTCTCTCTTTTTTTTTATTCTTGCTATAGGGTACATGTGCTCTCCAGAGAGACACACAGAGAGACAGAGTGAAAGAGAGAGTGAGAAATCATCCCCCAGGACCTATGATCACTCCACAATCCCTTCTCCTCTGTGTCCTCTCAGGATTTTGGGCACGTGCACATGTGTCTGGCATGATTTTCAAGCCGCCGGGTTCAGGACGTCAACTGCACCATCAGTTGTGTGGGAATCCAGTGCCTTCAACTCCATGCCACCCACGGGCCCCCAGGGCTGTCCTCTTAATCCCTGTGTTTCTCTAAGTTTCACTGATTCTGCAGTGACTATTTGTATAATCATAAAGTTGTAAATAACATTTATTGACATTCCATTTTCCAAATCGAACTCGACTGACCACCTGTCACTTAATTGTAGTGTTAGGGTAAAACACGGTCTTTTCGTGTCATGACGTTGTCCAGCCATGTCGCAGCTGACAGTTTCAGAACACATAAGGATGTAAAATGTGCAGAGAAAACACAGGGGCGCACGTGCCTTTAACCGCAAGGCAAAAGCATCAAGAGATTTTTGTCTAAAGTTGATTGATCAAGAGATCGAGTTGTAGGCGTCCACTTTACAATTACAAATGGAATAATAAATAAAATAAAACATAACTGAAGTCATGAAGAGAATGAGCTAATAGCAGAATTAAGTCTCTCTATAGTATGAAGAAAATGCTTACAGTCAGTAAATGAGGAAGAGGCAAGCACGTTATTTAAGTTAATGGAGGTGACTGAGCCAATTAAAAAGAGACGTTACCTGGGAGCATGACAGCAGGGATAGAGGTGGAGGATGAGGAAGCTATTCGAATGCTTCATTTTTAACCTTTCGGTGCCATTTAAATGGTTTCTGCTTAATATATCACTTACATAATATATACTTCCATAGCCTGAAATTTATGAGTAAAAAGACTATGTAGAGTCACATTTGGGTTATGGGTTTTCTTTAGTTAGGTGGGTAGTTTTTGTTAGAAGGCACGTGTCCTTGACAGAGAGAGACAGAAAGTGAGAAATCAACCTCCAGGGGGGATGGCCGCCAAGCAACCTCTTCTCCTTCCATCTCCTCTTGGGATTTTGCACACACACACACACACACACACACACACACACACATACACGTGCACACACCTGGCATGATTCTCAAGCACTAAAATCTGGAACTTGAACCACAAAACTGGCCATGTGGAATACAGCACCCTAACCTCAATGTCGCTTGCTGGCCCAATTATTTATTTATTTTTAAAAGCTTATTTCTTATGAGTTAGAGAGAGAGAGAGAGAGCCCCAGCAGGGTTCTGACGCCATGATCCACCTTCAGTCTTCAGCTAACCCAGATCTTGGGTGAGCATATGTTCAGCATACGCAGGGAGGTATCCGAACCTTCCCTTGTAGAATTGTCTCGTGGTGCATCATGGCTTATTGCTGCATCGCCACCTGGCACATAGTTACATATTTCATAAGGATGATAACAATGTACTTGAAAACATGTGTGGTTAGTGTTGTCCATTATTTTTATAAGGATTATTTTATTTGACTTTGTTTATTTATTTATTTAAATGTGAACAGAGAAATACTGAGTAAGAGAAAGGGAGGGAGAGAGCAAGAAAGCAAGTCTCCAGGTCTGGGACTTGAACTGTGGTTGGTCATGTGGGAGTCCAGCGCTCTTAACCACCATACCACTTGCCAGCCCAGTCCATTTTTAAAAACTTTTTTTTATTTAGCTTTATTTATTTATTTAATTTGACCAGAGAGGGACAGAGTGAGAGAGAGAAGAAAGTGAGAAAGCAAGTCATCGGGTCCGGGTCCACGACCTGAATCATGGTCAGCCATGTGGGAGTCCAGTGCCCCTAACTGCCATGCCATCTGCCGGCCTCTGCCTGTTATTGTTTAATGTTTCTTTTACAGGGCAGAATCATGAGACAGAGTTTACCTTCTTACATCTACTCCTTCATGGGACTGCTGTCCTTCTGTATTCTGTGTGCATCCTCCACCAACAAGTGCGTGGTGAGGCGGGAAGTCGCTGACTGCAGTCACCTCAAGTTGACTCAAGTACCGAATGACCTCCCCACAAACATAACGGTGTTGAACCTTACGCATAATCAACTCAGAAGACTGCCATCCGCTAATCTTACAAGATACAACCGACTGACTGTCTTGGATGGAGGCTTTAACTCCATCTCAAAGCTGGAGCCAGAATTGTGCCAGAAACTGCCGTTGTTGCAAGTTTTGGACCTCCGACACAATGAACTGTCTCAGCTTTCTGATAAAACCTTTAGCTTCTGCACGAATTTGACTGAACTCAATCTAATGTCCAACCCAATCCAGAAAATTCAAAATAATCCTTTTAAAAATCAGAAGGTAAGGTAAAAATGGTCATGTCCACATAAATGAAAATCATATGATCTAATGTCAAGTTTCAAATAACTTCTTCATCCTTAGAGTTAATATCTAATTGTCAAGGTAAGAGTAAGAAATTCAACCTATCTCAATTGGGAAAGAAGGGGACCTGCACACAAACATTGCCCTTGTGACTAAAATGTTTGCAAAAAAGAAAATTTAGTCTTAAATTAGCTTCAAGCCCAATTTTAAAGAAGTCTACCTACCTGTCTTGAGTTCCCATATTAAAAATGGAACTTAATAGAAATCACAGTCCAAGAAGAGTTAGAATACCCCATGAGAAACAGAACACAAAATTTTCAATTGTGCGGTCTAGTACGTGAAGTAATGAAAAAAGGAGTCCAAATTCTGACCTAAGGAAAGCTAACAAAGGGACACAATTTTAAAGCAAATGACTTACTCTTAGTTTAAAAGTAAATAAATAAATTAAAAATCCTCAAAAAATCACTATTCTTCTGGGACCAGCAGTTAGAGTAATTGCTATGTTGTTGAACTCCCATGTAGTTGACTGTGGTTCAAGTCTCGGACCTGGTGGCTTAAACTCACGCAGGGTGTGTGTGTGTGCGTGCCCAAGACCCTGAGAGGAGAATAGAGGAGAAGGGATTGCAGTGTGGCCATCCCCCCTGGGAGGTAATTTCTTGCTTTCTGTCTCTCTGTCTCTGTCTTTCTGGCGAGCGCATGCGCCCTATAGCAAAAATCTCTTAAAAAAAAAATCGCTTTTTCAATGGCTACAATTTTTTTCCCTAACACTTTGCTTGAATTTTAAATTCATTAAAAATGTATGTTATAGTCTCTAAATCTGAAGCAGTATTAAGTGCATTTTAAAAAATAATTGCTTATTTCATTTAATTAATTAATTATTATTATTTTAACTTGCTATAGGGCATGTACACTCACTAAAGAGAGACAGAGAAACAGAAAGTGAGAAAGCAAGTCACCAGTCCAGAACTTGAATGGCCATGTGAGAGTCTAGTAGCCTTAAGCACCATGCCACTTGCTGGCCCCTTAAGTGCAATTTTTTTTTTTTTAAAGCAAAGCAATGTTCAAATATCTTTGTTTTCTTCATTTCCTGACCTTATAAAGAATTGAGTATGTGACAAGTCAGTGGTATGGTAGTTATGGCAGCTGGATTCTCTAAGTCTGACTGTGTCATTCAAGTTTTGGACCCAAGGGCATGAAAAGCATACTGAGCACATGTGAGTGTGCCTAAAACCCAGAACTAAGGAATAGAGAAGTGATTGTGGTGTAGCCATTCCCCATGGGGTGGAAGGGGGGTGTTTTCTCACTTAAAAAAAATAAGCACACGTACACCTTTGACAAAATTAAAACACAAAACAAAGCATTCTGTTAGTTAAAAGGAAATGGTTTTAACATGTGCAGTGAAAGGGAATGGGAAGCATTATTTCCATAACGGTCACGCTGCATAAATTCAGTCAAATGTAAGTCCAACATAACATGGTGAGTTCCTCTCCTGATCTTGCCCTTTGCTTTTCATTTGTTACAATAAGACTCGATTTTTGGATTTGCGAGAACATGACAGGGAAGTTGAGGTCATCATGACTTAACTGTGCAGGCTGGAAACAAAAGAAATTGAAGACTATCATATTACACACAGTCCATAAATCAGAGTGAACGGTAGATCCAGGCTGAACTATATGTTGTAAAAGAGTCAGCAAAGTTTGACTGAAAGAGTGGCCAACCATTTCCAAATAACTAGTAGCTGGTTGGTTGGCAGTATCCACAAGACCAAAAACCCATGTTTCCTTCTCTGGAACACCAGCTGAAGAATTTTACCTCAGGGATCCATTGTTCAGTTGAAGACTTCGACTCACAGAGACAATTGCTTGATTGATCCTTCACATTACTATTCTGTGCTAGTTATGACACAACATTTAATTAACTATAAATCTTCTCAATATTAAAATCTTTGTTTTAGTTTCATGGATGGAAAAATTCACATGTTTTTTTAGGAACTTTGATTTCCTGTTATTTTCAAGGCAAATGAATGATGCTATATATTTGATAAGCCACGTGGATATTCCTTGCAACATAAATGAACACCTATTAGAACTAAGCAAATAAATCCTTAATGGTCTTTATATTATAAATAAGCTTAAATACTTTTATTTTGGTAAGAGAAATAAAGTGATTCTTAAAGGAAAAATTAAATCCTTGCAATAATAATTTTTTTCTTTTTTTTATGTTTTTGCCTTAGGGCACACGTGCTTGTAGAAGAGAGACAGAGACAGAGAGAGGGAATCATCCCCCAGGGAGGATGGCCAAGCTGCAATCCTTTCTCCTCCATTCTCCTCCTGGGGTTTTGGGCACACATGCATGCACACCCAGCATGATTTTCAGGACACCAGTTCCGGGACTCGAACTACAGTTGGCCATGTGGGAATCCAGTGCCTTAACTATCATACCACCTGTTGTCCCCACAATGCTAATAGTTTTCATCACAGTTAAGTTTATGTATTATTCCTAGTAACAATTTCTCACAAACAATAGATGACATTTTGTGGTCAAGATATTTCTAAGGTTCACTGGTATTTAAACTAACTGTTTTTTTATGGCAAGTCTCTAATGTACAAATGTTATTTTTTCCCTCTCAGAATTTAATCAAATTAGATCTGTCTCATAACGGTTTATCATCTACAAAACTAGGAACTCAGGTTCAACTGGAAAATCTCCAAGAGCTTCGATTATCAAATAATAAGATTAGTGCACTAAGACGTGAAGAACTTGATTTCCTTGGCAATTCTTCTTTAAAAATATTAGAGTTGTCATCAAATCAAATTAAAGAGGTAAGCATTCAGATGAAATCATTTTGGCTTCTACCTTCATCCTCGTGTCATCCCTAATGTGGCATACAGATAGGGATCCTAGAGAAAGGATCGACAATCTTTGCCATGTCTTCCAAAAACCCTTCACTCTCATTGCTTGGGACCATTGGTGCCATAGTCAAAAAATAGGGAGTTTGGGTAGCAGTTAGGAGATGGGACTGCTGTCAGACAGTGGCGGGTTGGGACCATAGGGTCACTTAGCAGTAACGATGATCTACAATACCGAACCTACATGAAAAGGTTCTGGGTTGATGTCCCAAGACTTCTCTGTACATGACAGATGCTCATGCATATGTCTGAGACATAGGCTGGCTGACTCTGGAAGTGGATTATGGCACGAAGACCCCATTGGGAATTTTCTCTCTCTCCCTCTCTTGGAAGAAATAAATTTCAGAAGACAATGACCAAAATACAGCAGTGGTGCCAATGCCTTTACAAAACAGGTCTTTGATCTTGGGTAATGTTCTTAACCTCTCTGAGGCTTAGTTCCTCACCTGTAAAGTGCAATAGTACTCTCTATTTCACAAAATCTCCAAGAGAATGAAAAGAATGTGATGGTTAAGAGCACAGTTTTATAGTGGGGTTAGCTGGCTCTCTCTCTGGGCTTTTATCTTTTAAAAACTGTGTAAGCAGGCAAGTTATTCAAGTTCTCTTTGCTCCAATCTCTCAGTCTTCAAATTGGTTTAATCATAACACTCCTTCGTAGGACTGTGAGCTAAAGAATTTAGTATTATGTCTGGCATCTGGTAAGAGTTCAACAAATGGTAACTAGCATTTTGTTATTACAAAAATCCTTGCAACAATATTTTCTGTTTTGTTTTTCGCTTCTACCATAGGGTGCATGCACTTGCGGAAGAGAGACAAAGACAGAGACAGAGAGAAATCACCCCCCAGGGGGAATGGCCACAATACAATTCCTTGTCCATTCTTCTCCTGGGATTTTGGGCATACACATACACACGCTCAGTGTGATTTTCAAGTTACTGAGTCTGGGACTTGAACATACATAGCAATCAGCCATGTGGGAATCTAGCACCTTAACTACCATGCCACATGTTGACTCTGCAATAATGATTTTTTTTTTTCTTAAGAGAGATTTTTGCAATAGGGTGCATGCGCTCACCAGAGAGACAGAGAGACAGAAAGTGAGAAATCACCCACCCAGGGAGGATGACCATGCTGCAATCCCTTCTCCTCTTGGGATCCTGGGCGCCCACACACACATGCTGGACATGAGCTTTAAGCCACTGGGTCTAGGACTCAAACTGCTGTTGACTAGGTCAGAGTCCAGTGATGTAACATTACTCCATCTGCTGACCCCCACAATGATACTTTTAATCACAACAAAAGTTATTTATTACTCCTACTAACAGTTTTATATAAACAATGGATGACAGTTAGTGGTCCAGATGTTTCTAAGGTTCACTGCTATTTAAAGAAACTTACCCTAGACTGGCAGGTCAAGAAGACCCTCCCATGAAGTGGCATCAAAGCTGAGATGGGAATGCTGGGTAGAAGTTGGCAAGTGGCCAGGGACGTCAGAGGCTGAAGAAAGAGCAGGTGTTACAGAGTGAGGCAGGCACTGTGCATTTCAGCAGCAGTCTGCAACCTTTCAGCCCCAGGGATTGGTTTCATGGAAAATAATTTTTCTACAGACTGGGGTGGGGAGTATAGTTTGTGGCTGATTCAAGTGCATTGCCTTGACTGTTCATTTTATGTTTATTGTTATTACATTGTAATAAGAAGGACCAGTACCAGTTTGTGGCCCAGAGGATGGGAACCCCTTTCTTAAAAGAATGGAGAAAATGCCCAGCCCAGGGAGTGTGGTAAAGGGGAGGGAGATTGAGTACATAATTGTATTTAAAGTTTTCAAGGATCATTCAGTCTATTATATTTTGGTTTTAACCTCTTTTTCTTTCTTCCACCTTTAGTTCTCTCCAGGGTGCTTTCATGCAATTGGAAAATTATTTGGTCTCTTTCTGAACAATGCTCAACTGAGCTCTAGTCTCATAGAGAAGCTTTGTTTGGAGTTATCAGACACAAACATTCAGAGTCTCTCTCTGAGTAACAACCAGCTGTACAGAACCAGCAATATGACTTTCTCTGGATTAAAGCAGACAAATCTCAGCATGCTCGATCTTTCCCATAACAGCTTAAATGTGATTGGTAATAATTCCTTTGTCTGGCTCCCACATCTGGAGTATTTCTCTCTGGAGTATAACAACATTGAACATTTATCTTCACACTCCTTTTATGGGCTCGTCAATGTGAGAAACCTAAATTTGAAACGATCTTTTACTAAACAAAGTATTTCCCTCACTTCTTTTCCCAAAATTGATGATTTTTCCTTTCAATGGCTCAAGTGCTTGGAGTACCTTAACATGGAAGATAACAATATGGCAGGCATAAGACCCAATATGTTCACAGGGTTGACGAATCTGAAATACTTAAGTCTGTCCAACGCCTTCACAAGTCTGCGAACTTTAACCAATGAGACATTTTCATCACTTGCTCATTCTCCTTTACTCACACTCAATCTAACCAAGAATAAAATCTTGAAAATCGAGAGTGGTGCTTTCTCTTGGTTGGGTCATCTAAAGGTACTAGACCTCGGCCTTAATGAAATTGGGCAAGAACTCACAGGGCAGGAGTGGAGAGGGCTAGAAAATATTTTTGAGATCTACCTTTCTTACAACAAATACGTAGAGCTGACTGCCACATCCTTTGCTTCAATTTCAAGCCTTCAACGACTGATGCTTCGAAGAGTGACCCTTAAGAATGTGGCTAGCTCCCCTTCCCCTTTTCATCCTCTTCGTAACTTGACCATCCTGGATCTAAGCAACAACAACATCGCCAATATAAATGATGAACTGTTGGAGGGTCTGGAGAGACTAGAAGTTCTGGATTTGCAGCATAACAACTTGGCACGGCTCTGGAAACATGCGAACCCTGGGGGTCCTGTTCATTTTCTGAAGGGTCTGTATCACCTCCACGTCCTCAACTTGGAGTCTAATGGCTTTGATGAGATACCAGCTGAGGCCTTCAAGGACTTACCCGAACTACAGAGACTCCGTTTAGGACTGAATAATTTAAACATACTCCCACCATCTGTCTTCGATCATCAGGTGTCTCTCACATCATTGAGCCTTCAGAAGAATCTCATCACATCAGTTGAGAAGAATGTTTTCTGGTCAGCTTTCAAGAACCTGAGGGATTTAGATATGAGCTCTAATCCATTTGATTGTACGTGTGAAAGCATTGCCTGGTTTGTGAGCTGGATTAATAAGACCCATACCAACATCCCTGACCTATCAAGTCATTATCTCTGCAACACACCCCGTCAATATCATGGGTTTCCAGCGATGCTTTTTGATATATCACCCTGCAAAGACAGCGCCCCATTTGAACTCCTTTTCATGATCAGTACTAGCATGCTATCGATTTTTATCTTCGTCATACTGCTCATCCATTTTGAGGGCTGGAGGATATCTTTTTATTGGAATGTTTCAGTACATAGAGTTCTTGGTTTTAAAGAAATAGACAGACAGCCAGAGCAGTTCGAATTTGCAGCATATATCATTCATGCCCATAAAGACAGGGATTGGGTCTGGGAACACTTTTCCCCAATGGAAGAGAAAGACCGAACTCTCAAATTTTGTCTGGAAGAAAGGGACTTTGAAGCAGGTGTCCTTGAACTTGAAGCAATTGTTAATAGCATTAAAAGGAGCAGAAAAATTATTTTTGTTATAACACAGCATCTTTTAAGAGATCCATTATGCAAAAGGTAGGTGAACATTGTGAAATTTTATTTTTAAAGAGAGATTTTTGTTATAGGGCACATGTGCTCACCCAAGAGACAGAGAGCGACAGAAACACAGAAGGTGAGAAATCACCCCCCCCCCCGGGGAGCTGCCCGGGCTAACACACCGCCCGGGGAGGTGGCCGTGCTACAATCACTTCTCCTCCATTCTCTGCTCGGGATCTTGGGCACGCACACAGACACACCCAGCATGAGTTTAAGTTGCCAGGTCCAGGTCGCAGTTGACTACATGGGAGTCCAGTGATGTAGCCATTATGCCATCTGCTGGTCTCACTCATTGTGAAATTTTAAGTGAACACTGTTGTCCAATTAAATGTTTATATATTACTAATGGTATGACTCTCAACTCAGAGAATTTTAAAAATAAAGTTACGTAAACAGAACCTAATTTTTTTTTTGGAGAGGTTTTCACTATAGTGCGCGTGCACTCACCAGACAGAGAGAGACATAGAGACAGAAAGCGAGAAATCACCCCCCCAGAGGGGATGGTCATGCCGCAATCCCTTCTCCTCCATTCTCCTCTCGGGATCTTGGGCACGCACGCACACACACCCAGCGAGAGTTTTAAGCCACCGGGTCCAGGACGCGAACCGCGGTCAACTACATGGGAGTCCAGCGACATAGCCATTACGCTAACTGCTGGTTCCCAATAGGACCTAATTTTTGAATTAAATGCTACAGGTAAACTATGTAAACATGGATAAACTTTGGGCTATTAAAAACTGTATTGGGCCAACTGGTGGCATAGTGGTTAAGGCAGATGGATATCACATGGCCAGCTGCATGGTTTGAGTATTGAACTCAGTCACTTAAAAACATGCTGGGTGTGTATATGTGTGTGCCCAGAATCCCAAAAGGGAATGGAGGAGAAGGGATTGTGGCATGACTATCCCCATGTAGGAGTGCGTTCTCACATTCTCCTTTGCACCCACTAGCAAATTAAAAAACAACAACAAAGAAGCTGTATAGTGACTCTATAACTTATTTCAGTAATGTTTTTTCTCCCTAGATTCAAGGTACATCATGCAGTTCAGCAAGCTATCGAACAAAATCTGGATTCCATTATACTGATTTTTCTTGAGGAGATTCCAGATCATAAACTGAACCATGCACTCTGTTTGAGAAGAGGGATGTTTAAATCTCACTGCATCTTGAACTGGCCGGTTCAGAAAGAACGGATAAATGCCTTTCATCATAAATTGCAAGTAGCACTTGGATCGAGAAATTCAGTACATTAAATTTGGTTAAAGATTAAGTTGGTGGGGCCAGCAGGTGGCATGGAAGCTAAGATGCTGGATTCCACATGTCTGACAGTGCCATTAGGGTCCCGAACCAGAAGGCTTGAAAATCACGCAGGGCACATGTGCTTACATGTTCAAAATCCCAAAAGGAGAATAGGGGATGGGGAGGATTGCAGGGTGGCCACCCCCAAAAAGATTACATTGGCAAAGAATAATTTTCCCATTTTAGAACGCTCCATGATATTCTTAAGTCTTACTTGAAAGTAAGGTCATTGGTTTATTCATATTTATAGGTGAGAGCATCTTATCACAATTACATGTCTTCTGTGGAAATGTGTCTTTCTATTTCAAGCAGTTTTTGAAAAATTGTCTTAATTCAATGCAAAAAAAAAAAACCATAAGCATGATTAGAACATCCTACATAATAATACATGAAGTGTCAAAATTTGAAACTTTGATGTAAATCGGTCATTACTCTCAGGGCTAAATGAGCATAACCCTGGAATAAGTAATATTCACTCTATTGCTGGTTCTGGAAGAGTCTCCAGTCTGCCAACCCCGGGAATATATGGAGGACTCATTTTTACTTTCACTTTATTTGTCAGCATTACAACTGAAACATTTGTTTGACAGCATTTTAGTTAAGATCTGTTCTATATTGAATAATCCTGTTTTATTTTGACATCATGGAAATGACAACTCTTTATTTTGACATATTTTGTATAGAACCTATTAATTTTCTCTACTCATTAAAATATTTCTAAATCGGGATCAGCAGTTGGCGTAATGGCTATGTTGCTGGACTTCCATGTAGTCAACCGCGGTTTGAGTCCCGGACCAAGTGGCTTAAACTCATGCCAGGCATATGTGCGTGCGTGCCCAAGATCCTGAGAGGAGAATGGACGAGAAGGGATTGTGGCGTGACTGTCCCCACTGGGGGGGGGAATCTCTCGCTTTCTGTCTCTCTGTCTCTCTCTGCCTTTCCGGCTAGTGCATGTGCCCTATGGCAAAAACCTCTTGAAATAAAAAAAGAATTCTAAATCAACTATTATTATGAAGAAATCAATTGTTACCATTTGTGAAAATCAGGGCCAGAAATAATTTTGCTTTTATTCTCTTATTTATTTGCTTATGAGATAGCTGATCCAATGGCCGCAATTTAAAATGAGTTCGAAGGGGAGTTCTTAAAAGTTGCTTAATACTGGGGCCAACAGGTGGCGTGGCAGTTAAAGGCACTGGACCACATGGCTGACCACAGTTCACGTCCTGGACCTGGCGGCTTGCTTTCTCACTTTCCCTCTCTCTCTTTCTCTGTTTCTCTCTGATCAAACTGGAAAATAATGATAATAATAAATAAATAAAGTTAAATAAAAAATAATTCTTTTTTAAAAATAGTTGCTTAATACTGAAGATGGTAAGATACACGAAGAATGACAGGTTTAAGTTGACACAAACAAGCGCCTATAAACTAGTAAAAGGTGTAAACCCTGACTCGCACTTGACCTACACAGGAAGCAACTTCTGCAGGCTGTCCTTTATAATTGTTCTCAGGAGAAGTCTTTGTCCCCTGGGTCCAAGACAAGGGGACTGCCGAGAAGGATGTTTGTCTGACCTGTTGAATTTCCACAAGTGATTTGACCTGTTTGAATATCCTCAGGGTGTCATCATATAATCGGCTCACTCCAACTCCTTCCTGTTTTTCACTTTGCAAAATTAACCCCAACTGAATCAACAACTGAGTTGAAAATACATCTCATGTGTAGGTTTTATCTAAAAATGATACCTTTTAGATTGAATAAGCAGAAAATATAATCAGTTTAGTAGTGAAGAGGAGGGTTTCCGTGTCATTTATGTAATAATATCTAATGATTCAACTATAAAAGAAATTATTTGTCAAATGACTCATAGTAAGTTATGGTAATGGTCAGATACTTCAAACCATGAACCTAAGGTGTATTTCTTATAACCTATAGAGACAAAACGTAGATTAGCAGTTGTCTGGACCTGGGGATGGGAACAGAGAGAGATTGCAAATAGGCAACGAGATCTGCTTCCTAAATTAGCCTTTGGTAATGATTGCACAATTACGTAAATTTGCTTAAAACAGGTGAATTTTTTAAATGTATTAGGTGGTCAAGAAAGTCATGAGTCACATTTGCGTGGAAAAACAGAAAAGTATGTCATGACTTTAGTGATGACCTAATAAATTATGTATTTATACAGCTATTAAAAAATAGTCTTAGGGGGAACCAGCAGTTAGCGTAATGGCTATGTCGCTGGACTCCCACATAGTCGACCGCGGTTCGTGTCCCGGACCCAGTGGCTTAAAACTCACGCCGGGCGCGTGTGCGTGCGTGCCCAAGATCCGGAAAGGAGAATGGAGGAGAAGGGATTGCGGCGTGACCATCCCCCCTGGGGGGTGATTTCTCGCTTTCTGTCTCTATGTCTCTCTCTGTCTGTCTGGCGAGCGCACGCGCCCTACAGTGAAAATCTCTCCAAAAAAAAAAAAATAGTCTTAGGGATCAGCAGACAGGGTAATGGATACATCACTAGGCTCCTGCGTAGTCAACCGTGATTCGAGTCCTGAACCTGGTGACTTGAAACTCATGCCAGGCGCTTGTGCATATGTGCCCAGAACCCCAAGAGGAGAATGAAGGAAAAGGGATTGTGGTGTGGCCATCCCCCGGGGGGCGGGGGGTGATTTCTCATTTTCCGTCCCTCTGTCTCTGTCTTTCTGGCAAGTACATGTGCCCTATAGCAAAAAAATCTCCCTAAAAATCAATGGTATTAGCTGAGCAGCTGCAGGTGTCTGGGCCTGTGCCAGTACCACAATGCACGTAGGGTGTGAGGACAGTTCTAGGAAGTGGGCGCCAGGGGTCAGGGGAGCAGAGCTTTTCAAAGACGGACCTGGCTGAGGAAGGCACCATGGAAGAGAATCCGACTCTTGAGCAGTGGGGGTCGTGTGAGTGGGGAGGAAGGCAGCAGAGTAAGTACTAACACAGAAGGCAGAGAGAAGACATGAGCTCAGAGCCGAAGGGAGTAAAATGCTGAAGAGGATGGATCCACACTGCAGAGAGCATGCGAGGGAGGGCAGATCTAATGAGGTGGGTATTTTGAAGTTGTGGCTTTGTAGACTTCAAATGGCCAAACCAGACATTATCATAAAATTCCCTCCTGGGATCTATGCTTAGGCTTAGGCAAGTGGTAACTAGTTGAATAGCGAAGTGTGGCTTGTAACTTCACAGTCTGAGCCGGGCTTACTCACCTCACAGAAGGGACTTTAAAGCACTTATTTCCCCCCATAAACGTATACACCCATGTTAAAGTAACGAAGCCCGGCAATCTGTCAATCTTTAGCTACTAATTCCACGGGGTAGAGGTGACGAATTAACCACTCTCAGCTCTTGCCACAATCTAGCCTTGATCTGTCTTCCTGCTGGAGGGAGGAACTGGTCTGTCATCTCATTTTTCCTCCACTGGTTTAATAGAATCTTTTGTGTGCATTGATTGGGCAGGAGTCCTCCAACTCCTCAGTCCTGGAAATTTTCCGGATTTGTGTGAGAATGTCTGGGTAGCCTCTGTCAACTTCTTCGTTTTTTTTTGTTTGTTTGTTTGTTTGTTTTAAGTTTATTCATTTCTTCCATGGAGAGAAAGCGAGATAGTAAGAGAGACATAGAAACAGAGACAGGCACTCCTAACAGGGTCATCACAGTCCATCCCCAACCTCAGCCAGGCAGCGTCACGGGCACACATGAACGCTTGGTGTAAAAGGAGGTCCCAGGATAGGAACCCAGGACCTTCCCACGTGCTCTGCACCACCACCCAGCCCTCCTTAGTTTCCTTCTATATTGTGTCAGTTCACCAAGGAACAGACTCAGGGATAGAGATGTGTATGAAGAGCTTTGGGGGAGGTGGTGCTCTCATGTATAAGTCTAGGCAAGTCTAGGCGAGGGGCTGGGCCTTCTTCTGCTCCTGGCCATCAGTCAGCCGTCAGCCATCACTGAAGCAGGCAGCCTTGTGGAGGAGGCAGCCTTGGGTAGGAAGTGTAACCTAAGCCAGAGACTTGAGCATCAGAAGCTGACACCCTGCAGCCAGGGAAAAGCGCTTGGGTCCTGAGGACAGGGCTTCATAATTCACTCCAATAGCTGCTACATCCTTCTAGGTATTTAAGAATTAAAATAGTCAGAGCTCATGCTGTTTTGTTTTTTTTGTTTGTTTGTTTGTTTTTTTTTACTCTGAAAGTTTTTGTCCTTTTTTCTTTTTTCTTTTCCTAAATAGGTCTCTTCCAGATCTTCTAGGAGACCATTCTAAGTTTATTTGCCCCAGGAATGAGCGATAAGGACAGAAAGGGAGACAGAGAGAACAACCCAACAGAATCCTGGTGCCATGATCCAGCCCCAGCCTTCAGCCAGCTCCAGGTCCTGGGCACCTGTCTGCCTGACTCGCTCAGGGAACTCTCTGGCCGTGAACCTGTAACCATCCCTGTGGGTGCACCTCAGCGAGCATTATGTTTTACCGTTGTACCAGCACCACCAACCACCGACCCGACCTTCCATTAAACAAGGGCACTTTAACAGTGTTAGCACGTGCTTGTCAAAGACAACCAGGAGCAAGTTGGGGTTCTTCTCATTGCACATAGGGATGAGACATACTAAAGGGTGTCTTAGAAGAAGGTGCCTGAGGGCCAGCCAGTGGCACAGCAGTGACACAGTACCCTGAGATGCTGGACTCACATGAGAATGTCCCAGGTTTGTGTCTAGAGGTCTCCCTGTATACAGGTGCACATGTTTGCCGAGATCTGGAATGGGTGGGTCTGGGAGTGGGTCATGGCATGTTGAAGTGGCTTTCTCTGTCTGTCTCACTCTTTCATGGAGGAAGTGTGTGTGTGTGTGTATTTTATTTTTAGAGAGGGATTTTTTTGCTATAGGGTGCATATGTACCAGAGAGACAGAGAGAGGCAGAGAGACAGAAAGTGAGAAATCACCCCCCAGGGGGGATGGCCATGCCACAGTCCCTTTTCCTTCAGTCTCCTCTCAGGATTTTGGGTGTGCACGTACATGTGCCCAGTATGAGTTTCAAGCCGCCAGGTCTAGAACTCAAACTGCAGTCAGCCATGTGGGAGTCCAGTGACATAATCGTTACACCATCTGCTGGTTTTGAATAAATATACTTTCAAGAAAAGAAAATAGGTGTTTAAAAAGATTTTGTCATGGGATGGGTAATGTTGCAGTGGAGCCTAGCACAAGGAGACAGTTGCAATGGCTTAAAGGGATAGCGATTTCTTAGTCAACAGAGACGTATTTATGGTACTTCAACAGTGGCACAATGACTCATTTTTGTCTATACTCAAAATTATGAAGCAGTTGTCCCGTTGTATGGTATAGTCTTGTCTGAGGCTGAGGCTGGTATTCTGTGAGATTGTTGATATCCAATAAGAGAGTAACAACCCACCTACGAGTGCCGGCTTGCATCTGTATGGCCAGGGATGCTCTTTCGTTCTTAGCAGCTTTTTCAGTGCATCTTTTGGCTGTGTGTGTATGTGTATGTGTGTGTGTGTGTGTGTGTGTGTATTTTATCTTAGTAAGTACTTGGTTATAAGTGACTAAGCAAAAAGGGAGACCACAAAAGCGAGAAGGGCAAGGGTGTCATTAGCTCTCAGAAGGAGCTGGAACCTCATGGCTCTTTCTCGCTACGGGTGCTGGTGTCGTCGGTTTGCATTAAGGGGAATCATGGCTGCCCAGGATCTCTGAGGCCC